GAGCAAATTTGCCACCACACCAAATGACACGGTGGCAAGGAGGCAGTCTGCAAAGTCTGCAGATGCAGGTCAGATAAAGAGAACAGCCTTAGCTATCCCAGCCTGCATGGCTCACCTGTCTGACAATAGATCCCTTCATGTCATCACATTAGTCCATTCAAATGTTCTGTCATTTGTAAGTGGGATGGGGTTGAACATGCACAGCAAACTAAAGAAAGGTATTTGTTAGTGGGGGCTGATAGAGGTGTGGATTTGAGCCACTGCCAAGGATTTGTAAATATCATCTGATCTAATGACAGATTATTGCTCTGTAGGTTTAGCTCATTACAGGACACATTGGTCATGTCCTGCACTGAGCCAGCACAGGGGTATGTGCTACTAGCATGTAGACACACTCCTCTGGTGCGTGTGCCTGACACGCTGCCAGTTTTGCTTAAAATTCATAGTCCAGGCAGAGTTGCTGTAACCATCTGGTCAGCTTTTTTATAAAATACAGTCTTCAGACTTCCTTGCGTTTTCCTCTGCGTGTCATCCCCCACTTTCCAAATCACAAGATTGCAAATCTCAACACTGTATGCTATAAAAATGGATTTTTAGTTCCTTTAGTCAGTAGTTTCTGGTCCTCAGGATGTTCACGAGTGTCTTCGTAGCACTGGGGGTTTAGCTGTCCTTCAAAACAAGCTGTACTGCAGCCTCTTAACCCATGATGCCTAGTTTCCTGTAAATTTGGGTTTCATAACTGAATTCTCTGTTATCTCATAAGATGCATGTTTGGAGTGAAGCCTTTCCCATGACTGGGCCCTTCTAAATACTTTCCCCTTTCAGTATCTCTGGTATCTAATAATGGTCGAGATTAGGTCCGATCTCTCCTACTGTGGAAGGACTAATGGGCTCTCCAGCTGCATCCACCTGCCACATATTAGTCTCCCTTAGAAGACCTGCCAAGGACAGAAATCCTGTACTGCAGTGCAGCCTCATTTATTCAGCTTGTCTTTCAGGTGGCCAAAAGTTCATCTGCATGATTAAACAGTCAAAAGCTCTAAAAGTGGTGCAACAGAACGTGTAAATTCATCTTACAGATGAAAGCAAGTTTTCAGTAGTCTTGTGAAAGGAAAATGGCATTTTCAAATTTGATGTGAACAATACTATATTATAGTATTCTCTCTTGAGCCCTCCTTTTTGAATATTTTCTTCACAAGCTACTGCATCCAGAAGGGCACACTTAAACCCTGCTGATGTGCTTGAGTGAGATAAGGTTTGCAAGATTTTTCAGTCTTTTTAATCCCATCAGGTGCTTCCTCTATTTAGGATTCAAAGTCTCTCATACCATAGCAAATTTGACCTACAAGGCATGGTTACCAAATCATCCCCTATAGAATGATAAAAACCATCCTTGCCTCATACACAGATGACAGTTTTGTCAAGGTAGATCATTCTCCATCTGCATCCAAGGAAGGTCTGTCATACAGACTAGAGCTGTGTTCCTTCAACCCGTTAAGAGAGAGCCCTGTAACACAGGGTCATTATGGGTCCTGCCTTACTCTGCTGCTATATGATAAGGACCAGAGTAAATTAAATTTCCTGTGACTCACCTGCAATTGGAGGAAAATTTATGGCTTAGTCACTGCTACAGCATATGGTTTTGCCTCTGCCTGTGTACACAGACATGCAGTAAGTCTGCAGAGAGTCCCACTGAGGAGAATAAGCCTGTTACTTTGCAACAGGCTGTTGTGAAAACAGGCTGTTTCAGGGACATTTGCAGCCTCCAGAAGGAAAGGCAGTTAGCTGGGTAGTGTGGAAACCTCTGCAAATGGGTTAGAGAGTAGTGTTGTTAAAAGCAGGTGCACACAATGTCCCTTTTTGAGTGGATGAAAGGTGTCAATAAGCAGGCAAACCAGAGCGGCTCTCCTGCTCATTAATTCTGTTTCTCGTGCCACCATTTCCTGTTCAGTAACTCCCTCCTGTGTTTCCCTTCTCTGCCGGAGCACGTTCACTCAAACTCAGATATGGTCTCCAAAAAGGAAGGGTGTTGAACGAAAGGGCCAGAGCAAGACCTCATGCTCCCCACCTCTCCCAAGCTATCTTTCCTGCTAGAAAGAAATTAAACAGGCATGTTGCACTCCCTTGGAAAGATAAATGCAAGTCAAGTTTGAGGAAGGTATGTGCCCTCCAGCCAGGATTTACCTTTGTGCTGCTTATTCTGTCCAGAAAACTTTTTTTTCTGAAGGGACTGTCTCACCCATATCTGAATCTCACCCATGCTCTAAATCCTTCAGGAAGAAATAAACACAAAAGTCTGACGGGTTTTTTTACTGGCCTTTGTAAGGAGGGCAGTTTGTTTCTTGCTGCTTTTATGCACATTTTTATATATTTTAAGTGGGACTGTTATGCTTTGCTGATCATGGTGGCAGCTTGATGGACTGTATGGACACACACACAGATAGACAATAGTTGTCCTCTGAGGACAGTAGCAAATGCCTCCCTTTTGATAGGTATCCATTGACTTATTATGGTCCATGTTTCTCAGTGCACTTCTGGACCACAGCAGTCCAGAATTAACAAGGGGTCAGAGGACCTTCTCTTACACCACTCTTCAGAGAGTGAAGTGCAGCAAGTCTGCAGAGACACCAAACTTTTGAGCAGAGGAAGAAGGGCTGGAGAGCTTACACATTTTGGCCATGAAGCACTGTCTACTGCGAAGATACAGAGCTGCCAAGAAGTAGAGTCTGCAACCTAGCTTTTTTATCCATTGTATTGACAGTCACCAGGAGTAGCAATGTCTTGCTAATTTTTTAAACTCCTTTAACCAGCCCAGTTAGTACTGGACTTGTTTTCCTACACGGTGCTACTGCAGGGGCTGGGACTGTGAAACCTAAATCAAGCCCCCAGTCTGAGCAAGACCTGGTATGTCCCAGAGGGCTGCAAGTACAGAGCCAGGCTGGTGGACCACACAACCTAGAGCTGCTTTGGCTGGCTGACCCACCAGACGTAGTCCTTTCACACAGAAACACGGCCCACAGCCTTTGGATGGTTCCGTACAGTTCTGCTGTAAGAATCTGCCATGATTCCAATTCAATGCGCTATTAACTGCTACCATAGCCTGTACTCATGATTGTAAACACCTTGATGTAGGGGCACTACCCTTTCACGTCAGCTTTGCATGGACACCTTCAAAGCCAGGTAGAGGTACAAAAGTGACACAAGCAGCAAAGAGAAAAACTGTTCACTCATGCAAGCACTTCCTTATCAGAAACAGTGTTTCCAAATCCATGAGACTTTTCTTGGCGATTCACTTTCAGCTTGACTTTATTCCAAAATACTCCTGCCTTCCCAGCCCAGCACAGTCAAGTAGCCATGGGATGAGTCTTGTGAGGAACAGCCAGTGCAGATTGTATTTTCATTCAGTGTTGGATTGCAAACTGTAGAGGGATGGGTGGGGGAAGGGGGCGGTGAAGAACAAAACCAAAAAAAGCCGACATGCATTATTTAGGACAAATGGACTTGGTTATAGATCCTGGAGGTGCTATAAAATTGATGGATTACAGGCTCAACATTTTTGGGATTTGAGCTGTCTGGCTTCCACTGTACTTCCATTGTGTCAGCTCCCCCCTCTTTTCATTGCCTCTTTGCTGGAAACATTGCACCGGAGCACAAGTGAAGTGAAGCAGGTCCTAACGAGACCCAGCAGCTGCCTTGTGTGGCTGCTGTGAAACAGCTGGAAGGGAGTAATATAATCACCCTTCTGTTACCAGTCAGCTGCATATCATAAGCACCTTCCTTGGGTGCAGGGAACCTGGAGGCAGCTCCTGTGGTGATGTAAATGCTAATTGAGCCCACAGCATGCTGTTTTGTGCCCCATTTGACATACTAAGCACTTGTTGTTCTGTCCCATGAGGATGAAGTGGACTGAATGGATATTCTGCATTGCTTTTAATACAATGACACTCATGTTTCATTTATGTGCAGGAGGGGTCTTTGCACTGGTTCCTGTAGCGGAATTAATGGTTTCTTGGCTTTTTGATCTGTTTCTCATCTTTTGTGCAATAAAACTTCACCATGGTTTCAGTCAGCCCAGGTCTGGAGTGCTCACATTTGGGATGTTGGATTTTTTTTCTTTTCCTTTTTTACAGAGAAACAAGTTGGGTGATGGGGATTGTTTTCCCAAAAAAACAAACTCACCTGGACTCACACCAGTTCTATATTTTTCTGTCTGTGGTTACTGATTTAAAACCAAATTTGATGGAAGAATATCTAGTAGGTCACAGTAGAAATCATTGGAATAAAAATTCAGTAGCTTATTATCACAGGTCATAGATTGTAGTGGAGAGAGCACTGTTTGAATGTATTTGGAGCAGGAATAGGTGCTTCTTAGAAAACAAACAAATTCAGGAGTATGTAAATACTGGAGACAGCTGAGCATCAGCGTTAAGAAGGTGATGTGGGGACGGGTTGCTTGTTACCAATTTTAATACATGTCCTTGGTCGCAACAGTTAACTTTTTTGAATATGAGTTTCCCCTCCTAAAAAGTCATCTCACTACCCTGTTACAGTACTTTAAAGCCCCACCTTGGAAAGGGCTGTAAACAGTCAGAAACTGGGTCTGCTGATTCACCAAATGTCCTTTGCAGCTGTTTTGATAGCATGTTTTTTGCTGAGGTGAGGCAGAGTATTACAGTAGTTTGCTGGCTAAATACTGCGTGTGACAGAGTCAGTCTGTATCAGAACATTCAAGTAAAGATCATAGAAGGTAAGTCTTCAGAGCAATTATCTGTTTGGCACAGAGGAACATATAGCATGCCAGCTGCATGGATGGATCAAGAAGAGATCCATTAATGATCAGAGGTGCAAAGGGTGGTATTGGATGTCTGCTCGGAAAAAAAGAAATAAATTAATACATATAAGAAACTAAGTCAGAAACAAAGAATAGTTGCTACCTGTGTAGGTTGCTATGCTGAATATCTAGCATGACAATTCATTTACTCTGCATTTTTATATTCCAGGTTCAGGTTCAGTGGTCGTATTCTTGGCCTTGCTCTCATTCATCAGTACCTGCTGGATGCTTTCTTCACAAGGCCGTTCTACAAAGCACTACTAAGGCTGTAAGTATGAGCGTGCAGCCTTACAGAAACCATGCAGAAACAGTCATCCTGCAGTGAGTTCTACAGAGACACAGGCCCTCATGAAGTTGCTTTGAGTGTTCTGACCTTCAAGTCCTTTCAACTGTTGGTTGGTCTGTGATAGAAAACAAACATGTTTTAATTTTCCTTCACTTTCTTCAAGAACTTTCCCTTTGTAAATACTGATTATGTTGATTAAAAAGCATTATAAGGATGACATTTAGGAACACACCTTTAAAAGTACTGACCCATAATTCCAGAGTTTACTACTGGTGAAAAGTTATCAAAGCAATTAAAATTATATGTGTCCTACCATCTTTGATAAAACGACAACAGCAATGAAAAAAGACTGGGGTCATAATAAGAAAAAGATGTATTTTCTTAAGCCTCAGTGAATATTTCATGCTGGTCTTCTGTCTTTTACACTAGTAAGCAGAAGCTACCAGTAATATATTACTTTCAATGTCATGTTAATGAGGTTAACTTTTATTGACAATCTGTCCCTCTTTAATTAATAGACTGCAGTAAGACAAGATACATTAAATTTGTAAAAATAAGAAAAGCAGTAAGTCAAGACTGCAATTCAATTACAAGAACAGAACAAAGCTTAGCTAAAATAGTTTATCATTTAGGATGATTCCAAATCAGAAAAGGTATTTGTGTTAGCTGTCTTTTGAGTTCTTCAACTGTATTTAAATACTGGGGTCCCAGTACTCATATCTGTACTGTATCTGAGCTAATCTGGAAACAGCCTGAAACCTAGAGTGCTCCCTGCATCCTTATTGCCCCTTCAGGGGATGTGAAACCAGACTTCTCTTAACATCCACCTGCCCTTTCAGCAAACAAGGCTGGGTCCTTATGAGCAGAAATGTAGGCTGCCTGGTCTGCCTTACATCAGTCTTGTGTGCTTACCTCAAGGATGATAGATACATGGAAGCAGCCAGGCACAATATGGCAAGGCCCTTCCGCACGGAAGGTGAGCATCCTTGAAGATGCACATAAAATCGAGCCCCTGGGGTGCCTTCCGACAGCAAATGGTGCAGGCAGCCAACAGCTTTGGCCTTGAGCCCAGCCATGCAAAGCAGGCAGTTGCAGAACTGCTTTAGGAGGGTCTGGGTAACAGGCTTTGATGTTAACAAAACCAAGCAAACACCAGTTTTATGTTGGATCTTCGGCATAAATTTGTTCCCGCTCTTAGCAGTAAGTCATCCTGCCAATAGTTATGGGGTCATCTATTCAGCTACTTCTCTTTTTCTTGCCTCGCAATCAGGCCGTGTGATTTAAGCGACCTAGAGTACCTGGATGAAGAGTTCCATCAGAGCTTGCAGTGGATGAAGGATAACAACATCACTGATATCCTGGATCTCACCTTCACAGTGAACGAGGAGGTGTTTGGACAGGTGAGCACAGCTATGCAAAACATCTGAAAAGCAAATCTGAAGCTGACAGAGTTGAGCACGATGAACATATTTCTGTCAGGAGAGATCCTTTAACCTTTCAATAACATTTTCTTCCCCTGCCTTCTGTTTCTTTCAAGCCACCTGTTTCAATGCAGATGTTTATTCTTAGAGTGTATAATATAAAATTCCAGCCCCCCTAGAGGCCTATTGAGCCACACACTGATGAGCATGAGGAATTCTCTGAAGTGGAGCTCTGCTCTCCAGGGTGCAGTTCACACAGATGTGGCATTCTGTGAATGCAAGCAATGTAACTTAAAGCTGATGTGACTGAAAGGGCAGAGGGGTCTCACCATTCTTTTGTCTGGTGTCTCCCTCTTAGATTCTGTGTCTCTTACTTGGCTTGTACCTACTTAACAGCTTGGTTTGCACATCCACTTATTATGCTTTCTGCCACTCAACTCTGCCTTAGTCAGACAATTCTTTTAAACCTAACAGAGCTGGGTAACTTTAGCTTTAAATAGGGTACAACCCTGGCTTAAGTGCAGACTGGCAACCAGAACATGTGTCTTCTGGGAGATTCTTTGGCTTGTACCAAAGCTTGGGTGCTCTTTGCTGTTGTAACCCATGCTAGAGTGTAACTGTCTCTGGAATGCCTTGAAGGGACCCAAAGCAATATTCAGACCAAGATTAGGGGCCTCCAAGGAGATACTGGAAACTAGAGATGCTGAAGAGCTAGGCTCACCAAGTACTGCAGAAGCTCAAGGGGTGGGAGTTTAGTTGTGGAAGGAGCAGACACACAGTGTCAAAGGGAGCAGAGAGATCAGGTGGAATATACAGAGAGTGGCTCTTAACCCTTGAAAATAAATTTGGCAGGAGGAGTTTGCACAGAGCTAGGGGAGAGTTAAACTGGTTTCTGCAGGGAGGAATTCTGGCCCTGAGAGTAAAAGGGCTGCTCCACCAAAAGCTTGAAAGTAACAGAATGCAAGCAAGACTTCAGGGGGTGTTTTCAAAACTGAATTTAGTCTGCTTATAGTACAAGGTCATGAGGGGTGAGCAAAGTCAAGGGTGGAAGAAATGAAAAGGATGGGGCAGAAAAATTGAAGTAAGAAGCCTCAGTAGGAAAGGTAACACTCTTTTTCCACAGACTTAAATGTAAGGGTTTTTTTCACTGACTTTGAGCTGAGAGCTTGCGTGACATTCAACTGACAGTACAGTGGTTTCCCTGGAAGGTATGGCCATGTAAGACAAATACACAAAGACAGATAGAAACATACAGACCTATTCACAAAGACAGATCAGACAAGTTTGTATTTACATTGGAAGACTACAAAAATTACTAAGAATCTCAGCCTGAATTGGCCTGATGCATCTGAAGGTAACACTTGGCACACTAATTACCTGGTATGCTTTCCCCAAAGAAAAGTGCTAGACACTGACATAGGAAGATAAAAGATGGCTCCAAAGAGAATTAAAAAAAAAATAAAAAGAATCTGTTGTAGATAGTGTGGTATAAAGGCAAAAGAACACTAAAAGCCAGACTTTTATGCCAGTTCACATACTGTTTAGTACTTTATTTCATATGTACTAGATACTAACCTTACTAGATCTAGTGATGGGGAAAAAAATGTTTCACTAGGTGAATTATGACTTTAAGAATCCAAGAGTCCTAATTGAAAGTGAGTTTTTTCCTCCTTCTGAAATTTGTTAAGTGCTGACAGCAGAAAGAATGAAGAATGAAGAAATTGCAGTCACATTTTATGCTCACAGAAGGATCTCAGTTGGAAATTCTTGCATGCCAAGAGTATCTGACCACTTAAATATCATCAGAACATTGCTTTGCTGGATACACTTGCAAGTGTAGATCACAGTGGGAGCTCTGCTAATATTTGGGAAGCTGGATGTCAAGCCTTGGGTGAGGGAAACAAGAAATAGCAGCTTTTTGAGGAGCTGTGTGATGGTTAACAGCCCTTTTGTCCTGCTTCCACAATGATGTTATTATGGACCAGTCACTACCTCTTTCATTTTTTCTTTCTTGTCTCATCTCTTACATTTATGTAGCTTTTAAGCCTTTTGGGCCAAATCCTTTTTCTTGGTACCTTCTTTATGAGAATTTACTTCTGAGAAGTGCTGGCCTTCTTGCATGCTGGAGCCCAGAGCATGACTGTAATAGCAAAGCTATGATGTCAAACCAAGCATTACACATTTTTACTGATGGGGACTGAATGCCAGTTTGAGAATTTCACTTACAAGACAGAGAGAGGTGCCATTTGCTTGTACTTTCTCATACTTTTACCCAGTAGAAAATGTTCTTCAGGCCTGTTTCTGAGCTTTATATGTGGATACATCCTGTCTCTGAGCCCTGGCAATTGCTCCAGCCAGGTAAAAGGAATGGACTCGATTGGTTTCAATGTCTCCTTGCTACTCTGAAACCTGATTCTGAATTCTAGTTCACAACTGTGGTTAATGCCATTTTGAACAAGAAAAAAAATAAATAGACACATCATTACTGATTGCCTGCCTCCAATTCTAGGTTAACTACTTTTATTTCAGTTTATATAGATAATGAGAAGTTAGAGAACTCAGCAGCAACTCTAGGTGCTTGTATGAAGTCTTGTTGGAGATCTAGAACATCTGAACTTACAGTCATGCTTAAAGCTAGACAATATTTAGTCTTTGGTTTTGACAGATGTATCTTAATGCCACACAGTCTTGAAGAATAGAGCATGGCAGCTGGGCCAGGGTCTTACCCCTGGGTGATGCAGCATTGCTTGTATAATGGTGATAAAGTGACTTACAGTTGGGACTTTAACCTGAACCAGCTAAGGGTTCTGAACTCATTACATCCAACCTTACTTGTTCCTGCTGTTTCTCAACAAAGCTACAGATTAGGTGACTCATTGAGTGTTTCCATAATTCATAATATCACAACAGGTCCCTCAAGCAAAGTGACCTGAATACTTCATGTGCTGTGTGTTGTCTGTTGGGCTAATAAATAGTATACATAATAGGTAAATAGTACAAATGATGATTATGTATTCATGTAACTTATGTACTATCTGTGCTAGACATCATTGTTATAGCAGCAGAAAACTGAAGAAAGCAAAACATTCTTCCTTTTAAATCCACTAGAATGGGAGAATAATTGCAAGATAAATAATATTTTCTGTCACATGTGAGGAGCATGTGCCTTCTGGGTAGAATCTAGATTGATTCCTTAAATCCCTTCTCACTTTTAAGCCAAATAAATTAACCATTAAAATGCAATTAAATGCTGTAGCTCTTGGTTTAAAAAAAAATAATAAAATGAAAAAGTTATTTCACGTACAAACACTTCTCAGGTTTGGATAGCTGATACAAAACTCTAAATCCCACAGTCACTGTTCATCATCTGTGCAGAGTGCTGTAGAGGTCTTGATTAGGTAGTGTAGCAGGAGTATTCCTTTTGTGATAATGTCTTTGGATATTGGCATTTCTGAGTAAACACGTTCATTAGCACTTGTTGCCTAGAGAGACCAGATATCCTTTCCAGCTGGCAAAACAGTCTGCCTGTTGCAGTACCCTGTGTGCCAATCCATCCTGTAGTTTCCCATCCATGGATTGGATCATCTACAGCACGTAGCAAGCTGGTTTGGTTGTTGCCCTCTTTGCAGCTCCTAGACCAAAAAAGGAGAGGAGAAGGATCCAAAGGTGGGCCTGAGTGGCACATTGTACATGCCTTGTGGATGGTGCTCTCCAAATCAGTCTTTGTGTGTCCAATTTGGAGTAACCTAAAGGTCAGTCCAGCTTCAGCTGGGAGTAAGGCAAGGTCCCTCATTATCCTTTAGTTTCTACTAAAAATGGACAAGAGGCCAGGAGGCCTGAACTGGGAATGTGGCTGTTACGTTTTTCACTTTCATTTTCAAACGACAGCTTAATTTTTAAACACCATGTGATCCGTAGATTGCTATACCACTGTTTATCATTGTTTTGTAGGTGACAGAGAGAGAGTTGAAATCTGGAGGGGCAAATACAGCAGTGACAGAAAAGAACAAGAAAGAGTACATTGAGAGGATGGTGAAGTGGCGAGTGGAACGAGGAGTGGTTCAGCAAACAGAGGCCCTGGTCCGTGGCTTCTACGAAGTAAGTAACAAGTCTTGCTTTCCTCATCTGAATGAGATGACCCCATGGGTAAACTATGCTGTGATACGAAAGAAAGCTGTGAATAGTTGCACATTTCAGTGAGGAGCTGGTGTGATGCACTTGGATTTGTAGGGACTCATTCCAGTAAAATTGGTCCTAGGATGCATGGTATCTTTGCTCATATTTATGGATGCTGTTCTATTATTGTCCCTGGATTTTGCTAATTTATCTCTGCTGAAGACCTGGGTCTTAGAACACCCTTCTGGCAGTGTTGCTACAAGGACTGCCAAAGGCTGGACAAAATCCTGTTGTGTGCAGATTATGTCCTGTCACTTGTATAGTTTCATTCTCATCAGATCTCACGTCATCATTGTTTGCAGCTCAAAACACGAGCAGACACCCCAAAGAAGAGCACAGATTAACCAGCAGAGGAGAGAAAGTTAGCTGTCAGCATGCAGACTTTGTCAGAATAAAAAGCTGGCCATCAGAGCCATAGGTTTACAAGACATGGCATCTGCTTTATTTCCAGTCTGAAACTGTGCTAACAGGTGTGTTTTTTTTTTAATTCTAGGTTGTATGGCTTGCGCTTGTCTCTGTTTTTGATGCCAGGGAACTGGAACTGGTTATAGCTGGCACTGCAGAAATAGATCTCAATGACTGGCGTAACAACACAGAGTATCGTGGAGGTAAACTGCCTGCTGATGCTCAACATCTTGACTCTTCTCAGTCTAAAACATGAAAGACTTGATCCATCATTTCCTTCTCTTTCCTGGGGGAAATGCCCAATTTTATTGAGGAAGCTTTTGTGAAGAATAGCTCATGAGATAAAATAGGGAAGAGATCAGGTTTGGATCAACAGATGTAATAATGTTGAAGGCACTTCTGCTACTTCAGATTTTACCCACTCAATTCCCACCAATTGAACAGGAGTTTTGACTATTAAGGATTGAAAAGGATTTGCACAATTAGATAAATAGGTTACTTACTCAGATGGCTGTGAATGAACTCCTGGCCTCACAGTAGTGTCACAAGTCCTTTTGGCTTCAGCAGGGAGCTGAATTCAAGAGCTGAATTTCACAGCGTCCAGATACACTTCAACAAAATACAGATCTTGCTCAACCATCCCCTCAGCCTAAGCTATGTCAAGTTGGATGTGGGTTTTTTTCCCCTTCTTCTCTAATGCTTGGCCTGGTTTTGCTTTAAACACTGAACATGATTTGTCCAGGCTGTCTTGGATGATGTATGCATGAGAAATCCACCAGTTCTGCACTACAAAAGGAAAGTCCCTGAGGTTCACATATCTTTCCCTGAAACACAAGTCTTTGCTGCTCACTGCCCAGCCTTTGTGTTACCTTGAAATATGCAGCTTAGCACAAGCAAAGATTGTCCCCCGGGATATTTTCCTATTTTTTTTTCTGTGTAGCTATTGAAACATACTCAGCCTGGGTTTATGCTGGCTTTCACGAGCACAAACCAAGGCACAGAGCCTCTCAGGTGGGAGGTTTGCCAGGGAAGGGCTTGTGGCAGCAAATTCCTCTCCATATGCTGAACACTGTTGCAATCCGAAAGAGAATTTATTTGGGAACCAGAAACTGTTAAGTCATTAGGACTCACACGGTGTGGCATATTGCAAATGGTCTTTTGTATGTCAGGCAGGTAACCCCAGTTCTTGCCAAGAGGTTTGTGGGAGGCCAATGTACCTCAAACAGATACTTGAGTTTCAGGGTTTAAATGAGTTAGTAATATTATAGTATCCACAGCCAGGACAAGATGGGTGCTGGGACCTACTGCTCATCAAGAACAATCAGGATCAGGGTTAGATCAGGATCTGTTGGACAGCAGATGTACTGCCCCGTGCTAGTGGGAGCATACTTGGATGTTATGCTTCCCGCTCAGAGAGGGCCATTTTAATTTTTCTCTCTTCCTTCTTTGTTTAGGTTACCATGATGGACACATAGTAATACGGTGGTTCTGGGCAGCAGTGGAGAGATTTAACAACGAGCAGAGGCTGCGGCTGTTGCAGTTTGTCACGGGAACATCAAGTGTGCCCTACGAGGGCTTTGCAGCTCTCCGAGGGAGCAACGGGCTGCGGCGCTTCTGTATAGAGAAGTGGGGGAAAATAACCTCCCTCCCAAGGTATGTCCCAGATAGGCTGTGACAATAGAAGTGCTTTTTTTGCATCTCTCTGCAGTGGAAGGTAATTCATGCAGTACGGGCATCATAAAACAGCAAAGAAACAATTATCAGTTTGATGTGTCATTACTTTCAGAGAAAAGTGTTCTCTTTTGCTGCCTTTTTGATTTGGAGGTTCAGTTTAAGCTACTTTGAATCCTGGGAAATGAGTAATAAAGATTTCCATAGGTCCAAACCTAGTTCCTCTTTTTTTTTTTTTTTTGGCTGGAACAAATCCAAAGCAACAGGAGCCTGTCAGATGATTCTGTTCCTTTTACTTCCAAAATAATAGGAAAAATACTTACAAGTTTACAGACCCATGAAGGCCAGAACCTGTTTTGGAATTTTGGCCAGAGATCTGAGTGTAGTCCCTTCATTTGCTCTGATGGTTCCACTTTTTCATCACGAGGAAGCTTAGTGAAGAGACTTCAGACCATGTGGTGGTAATGCCCAATTTGTTAAATCTAGTTCACTCAGCCAACTAGGAGCAAATGAGCCATAATGTCATACAGAGTCAACAGACTTCACAGTGCTTTCCGAGGGGAGGGCTCATCTTCCTTTTCAGAACAAAGGGACTGGGGCACAAAGGGTGGTCTGACTTGGCTAAGGCCACCCAAGAGAGCCATGGCACAGCCAGCAATACATTCAGCTTTGAGTTCTGCTCCAGCACTTTATCCATGACCAGCACTCATCATTCCTCACCAAAGTGAGTCACCTTTTCTTGAATGTCCTTACTGTTGCCTGAGGCTCTGCCTCATTGAGATTATTACAGATCTTTTTTCCATGGGGCAGCTTCTCAGCACTTGTGAAATTCTTTTGTTATGTGACTCTTTGACATAACATTTGCCTTCCAAAGGATGCTTTATTCCTGTTCTTGTTACTTGCTTTCAGCTGCAGTCCAAAACAGGCTGCTTTCATGGCATAGAGCAAAAATAATAGAATCATAGAATGGTTTGAGTTGGAAGAGACCTTAAAGATCATTTCGTTTCAAACCCCCTGCATGGGCAGGGACACTTCCAACTAGATCATGTGTCTTCTCACATAACTCACGGATACATTAAGTTATGGGTCTGGTTCATTTTTCTTGTTATTGCCATCCATGATGTTTACCCAGGAGCATACTGTAAGACATGGACTTGAGCAGACCTCCAGAGTCCTCTGCAGAGGGAAAGTTCAAGTGTGGTCACAGTACAAGCATGCTCAAGTCCATGCTTTTCCAGTGGGGAGACATAGGGTGCTGTATCAGCAGACTTTCTGAGCTGCTTATGTGGACTCCCTCTAAAGTCAGGAAAAGTGAAGTAAGTGTTTTTAAGGCACAATTCATACTGCCTGGACACAGGCTTTTAAAATTGCTCAGTTGAATCACACCTGGTATATTCTGATTTATGTCCATCAATTATAAAGACTCTACAGAGACTATATAGAGAACTAGAGCCTATGAGAAAGGTAGATGTAGGCCCTGAGATTTAAAGACAGATGAAAATAGGTAAAGTCAGTGAGATTCTTCATGCCCTTGAGCTTCAGCCAGCAATGTGGAAAGAAGGGCTGAGAGCTACAGTTTGTTATGTGTAAGCCCTGATCCTCCTTTTGCAGCCTATTTATAGTCTGGTTCTGTGTGAGGGTTTTGGAGCTTACCAAGGGCATTCCCACCTGTAGACAGGCAGCAAATGGAAGTCAGAGACTTGTGCAGCATTTCAGCAGAGATCTCTTGCATTCCTTCTGGGATGGAAAGGGGCAAGAGGAGAGGGTGGACCTTGGCGTGTGCACAAAAAATGCCCTGGGCTGACCCATCAAGTTGTGAAAAGGTAATTGGCCTCTTTCTGCTCTGCTTAACTTTCTTTGTGATCCTAAGCAGTACTTATGACCCAGATTCAGTTAGCCCCGAGATATTCATAGTAACAACTTTATGTTTGTCTGCTGATCACCAAGCTTGTTGCACTCCCTGAAAGAGGCCTCTTTTCCAGGTGAAAGTTGTTAGCACCTTTCAGAAGTCTTAGAGCTCTGCATTCATTTTAGCCAGGGGAAAGAGAAACAGCACTTGCTCGGGGAATAAACACAGCTTGATCACTGTGAATTATTACCTGCATTTTTATAAAATTATGGGCTGCTGCCAAGTATACACAGTGTTAAGAAATACATAAAACACACAGGCTAAACCTGGAGGCTCCCTAAATCCTTAGTTAAGCAACTAAATAAATGTTATTTTAAACTTTTTTTTTTTTTTTTTAAATGCCTGATTATGGCTTGCTCACGTTTATTTAGATTTACTTACATATTTACTTAGACTTAGAGGCTAAAAAAAAGTCAGATGTCATATCCTGTAGGCCTTTTGGCCCCTGCGATATGAGTGTAACTAATTTTACCTGTTTAAAAACAAATGACAAAAAAACACAATAAACCCTTGTCCTTCTAACAATCCCTACAGTTTCACGGTGAGAGTTAGCCTGACTCCACCCTTTCAAAGTCCTAGGAAAAAAAACAACAAACAAACAACAAAACAAAAAAGCCCAGCTTTCTCATGTCTCAGCAATCATCAGATTTAGTTGTGTATGTGCTTAGGTGTGTATTGCACATCTTAATTACTGGCCTTAGTTCTGAGGCCCTAACCCAATAAACGCAATGCTGGGAGAGGTGTTATGAAAGTTTGCATGAAGCTGATGCATTTGGCTTTCCTGACATCCAAGTAGATGATGGGTCACTGGGGCTAGGTTAGTCTGCCCTTTGGTTTTCAGCTGCTTTGCAAAGTATCAAGATAACTCTTAGCTCTATCAGAAGAATCCAGGACTCTCTTTGCACTCCCTCACTCCTGCTCCATGCGGCTGAAGTAGTAGGTGACTCTCCCTTGCATCTTGTCCTTGTCCTTCAGCAATGGAGCATGGAACTGCCATTTGTTTATGGTGATCAAAGACTCAATAACACTCTTGCACTCCCAGAAAAGAGGCATGGTGTAAATTTCCAAAATGCGACACTTTTCAAAGAGCAACCATTGAACATAATGCCTGGAGTGCTGCTTGAAAGCACTGAGGGTAAGAAAGACTTTTTCAGGAAGGCTGAGAATCTGGTAGCTTCATTCTGAATTGGTGCACTTCTTCATCAGTACCATTTCCCCTACACAGAATCATAGAAGGGTTTGATTTGGAAGGGACCTTTAAAATCATCTATTTCCAATCCCCTGCATGGGCAGGGACACCTCCCACTCGATCAGGTTGCTCACAGTCCCATCTAACCTGCCCTTGAACACTTCCAGGGGTGGATAATGGTGGTGTAATATGTTCATGTAAGAAAAATAAGAGTTAGATTTCACCAGTGGTTTATGTCTGGACCATGTGTGTGTACCAGGCACATTGTTCCTATCTGTCTTTTCTTTGAGTCCACACACATTAGAAAGTCAAAGTACTGTACAGCTCAGAGATGCTGCTCTAATCCCAGATCTCTAGATGATGACCCTAAAGCAGGTTCTAAAGAGATTGCCAGATTTATGGATCTGTCAGTGTAAATCAGCAGTGTGGTGTCTTCCAAACTGATGTAGCTGGTTGTATGAAATAACACTAAATAGGTAACAGATTTGACCACTTGTTCATCAGGATTGAGTTTTACTCTCCCTATCTAATATACCAAACTTTACCTCAACATAAAGGAATTACATATTTTACTTCTTGAAACTGGTTGCCTGAGTAGGGATGATAGAGAATTCTTCCAGCTATAGCCTGTTCCAAAGCAGGAAGCCTCTCTTCACTTTTCCTGGATCATGCAGATACAGAACCAGCTTTAGCAGCAGTTTCATGAGAACTTGTTCTTTGTTCCCCCCACCAAACATTAATGGACACTGGCTTTCTAGCTGGAATAACGTCGCTTCATCTGATATTGTGGGAGCAGAACTCCTGACCCAAAACAAACCTGTGCAAAGAACTAGCAGTGTTCTCTGCCATAGCTGTAGGAGACAACAGTTCCCTTTTCTTAGAACTGCAGCCTGCAAGTGTTCAGTGCCTTCAAATGCCATTGTCCCATCTTCTGGTTGTGCTTCTGACCTGGCTAAAACTTCTGTCAGCTCCAAAGTTATTTCTCGTGGAGTATCAATCAAGTAAGAAACTCCGCATGTATTCCAGTGGTTCAAACAGTGGCATTTGACACCATGAATTCACTTTCCTCATCAGTGCTGAGCTGCAACTACCCTTTCACCAAAGGAGATTTTCATTCATCAGAGTAATATTAGTGATTACCACTATACACTCTCTGGTTTATATATGCTAGAGATATATGCTAAAGATTACCAATGATAGTAAATATCTGATCTTTTGTAAGAAAATTCTGTCCCTTTTTATTGGATGATCGAGTATTTAATCATCTCAAAATCCCATCTAGTAATTCTAAAAATATTCTGTATGACTACAAAGAATAATTTTCTTCTTTCCCAGTGGACTGAGTGTGTGTACTGTGCTGTCTTCTATCCTTTATCTCCCATCCCTCTCCTCTTTCCTCTTTTCTCACATACAACAAAAACACCATCTACAAATCTACATTCATTAATTAAGCAGTGGTTCCCATACAGCATATAAGTGTTCCATCTCACAGACAAAAGGGGCAAGAGTTGATACCTGTGGGTCCTGAGGTTGAACAAAAAAGGGCTTGTGGGCTTGAAAAGGAGAATTGCCCAGTATTTGCCTGACAGGCATGGTTAGGTTAGTATGCAAGTCTTATTTTAGTTGATAGGTTTGAGCTATAAATAAGACAGGAGGGATTTCTGTGCACTTACTGCCTTTGGACTCTCATTGTTATGGAGATTAAAGGAAGTGACAAAGAAATGATGAATGCAAAGATCTTAAAAGCTTATACTCATCATTTTTAGAGAGAATTCTTAAAAGAAAAGAAATCGTGCAGCACTGTGAACAGTGAGCAAAATTAAAGGTTCAGACCCACCAAAACTACTTTGAACAATAAAGACAGACTGCCAGGAATAATGAAATTTTAAGTGGTCCATTTACTGCTTTACTTACTGGAGGATGAGGGCACATGAGGGTCAGAGTTAGTTTATATTACTTTATCTTGCATTTTCTTCTAGAGAAGCCAGAATCCTTTCCATAAAAGTTCTTCCCAATCTTAATTTTTCTTCCAGACTTCTCACTCTGTGAACACCCTCTCAAATGTCAGCAGGCTTATGTGGTAGGAGGCTTAATCTAGGGAAGAATTTTCTCATTGCACAGTCTGTGTCTTGCACTGCTGATGTAATATTTTCACCCAAATATGTGCAGCAAGCCCAGTACTACAAAACAGCAAGTGTCTCCTGGGTCATGCTTACTGTAGACACTCTCACTGGGATCAGGAGGAGTTTACCCCTTTGGAGGAAAAGGCACAGAGTTAGGCAACAGTGGATATTATGGAAAATATCCTTGCCTCTTTATTGCCCTGTGTACTGCAGTATCACACACAATATGATCTAACAGACCAGAGGCTGAGCAATTTCTCTTCAGTCTGGTTTGGAAAATAGTTCTCAGCTTTGAATTTTGAGAGGCAAAGGTGCTATTCTGAGGAGAGAGAAAACACTGAATGAGAAGGAGTCCTAATGAACCCTCTCTCTTATTTTAGGTGAGGCAGAATATCGGAACACAGAAGTTCCACCTCAATGTGAGGAAAAACTTCTTTACTATAAGGGAGAGGGAGCACTGGAACAGGCTGCCCAGAGAGGTTGTAGAGTCTCCTTCTATGGAGACTTCCAAGACCTGTCTGGGTGTGTTTCTGTGTGACCTGCCCTAGGTGATCCTGTTCGGGCAGGGCTTGCTGGACTCGATGATCTCCAGAGGTGCCTTCCAACCCCTGTGATTCTGTGATTCTATGTCGTTCAGTTACGCAACTAGACACCATGTCTGACCTTTACAGCAAAGAACCAATTAGACCCATTGCTGGATGCATACCAGACAATTTTGCACATAATTATCTTGTTGTAAGATTCAGTGGGCTTCACTGGAATCACTGGATTTGCAGTAGGCCCACATTAGTTTCACAGACCAGAATTTGAACTTAGGTTATTCCCTGGGCAATATATTGTGTTTTGCACCTCAAGTAGGTAAAAGTGCAAACCTAACCAGCACAGGACTCCTGAAAATTAGTTGTATTTTTTATTTGATGACACTTTTTGGAGTGAAAGGACTTTTTACTACAAAATTGTTGAATTGAAGAATACGAGAGTGTTCCTTAGCAAAATACTTCTGTTTTTCTAGACGTCAACTCTTTCTTCCTTTCTCTGTAATTGTTTCTCCCCATAATAAATTCCTTGACACCTTCTACAGAGGAATCCACTGCCATAAATCTCCTAATAGGGAAAGGAATGGATCTTTTTTTCTGAGTTTGACTAGGTCAAGAGTGACTAAAATCAACAGCATTGCATGGTTGTTTCATAACCAGGATGAAATGAGATAGATAACAATCAGTCAAGGTGAATGTCTGCAAGAAAGTAAACACCAGAGTCAGTGGCTGTGGATATGTCTGCACCACACAGTAGGATGCACGACAACGATGTCTGAGATGCTATGGTCTCACACAGTTAAATGTGCCAAGGTTAAGTGCCATACAGAGAAATTACTTTAGGTTCAGCAAAGTTGTATTAGCAGAAGCCACACCTGGGCCACCATGACTACACTTCTTTCAGTTCTGGAGCCAGGCAGCTGAGCTCCTCAAGACCAGCTGTCTCTGAATGGTGTTCTCTTGCCTATGAGAAACACATTCTGAATGGACTACAAGAGTCCTTCAGCTAATTAACTCCCAGTGGTTGATAGTGTTGGCAATGGATTGCAGAAACAACTTACACTGCCAGAGATTGCTGAGATAACAACAAACAGTGCAGGGCTACTCATGGATAATACACAGGAGCTGCCATGTTTAATTTCAAGAGATGTGCTAAATAATGGCTTTATTAATGTTCCTTTTTCACTAAATCACATGTGTTCCCAGCTCATTTCCGCAATTTCTGTGTTTATTGTACTCTCTCTCTGAGAGTGACCAGCTAACAAGTCTTCATTCAGAAGGGGAGAAAGGAGGGTAAAAGCTCTCCTAATTGAACTTGTGTGATGCTGTGAAGATTACATGCCTCTGGCTCTTTCAGTTCTCTGATGACTTTTTAATGATTCACCAATGGTGCTTGATAAAACTCTCCCTCTGAATCTGCAAGTCACAGGCCAGCCCATCTACCAGAATTGTGTTTTTCTCACTTTGTGGGTGGCCTAAGATATGCCTAGTGTGGCTTCAAATAGTTTCTCCAAGATAGCTCTTCTGCTTCAGTTTTGAAGAAATAATATTGAATTAAAGTGTGAGATAGAAAAGCTAAAAGTAAAACAACGGCTTCTAAAAGTACTAGGGATGAGGAGCTTAGACATTGTTAGCCCCTGAGGCTACATTTCCTTTTGTGAGTTGACATTGGTCAGAGGGAGCAAGAGGGAACAGAAATACTTCTAGCATCATGCAAAACTCCAAGCTGACTGAAAAAAAATGAAGCCATTTTAATGAAATTGTGCCCCTGTTGGTTGAATGAGCTCTCTGGTTTCTCAGTCAGTTGAAATGGATGAACTCTTAGGGCAGGGACTGTTTCTGTACCACACATTTGTGTAGCCCCTCACACAGTGAAGCTCAGACCACATCTGGGTCTAATTGATGCTACCAGAAGAGCTGGAACAAGGTAGAGGCATGTGTGGAACCCATCCCACTGCTTCTTTTGAAGGTGCTGCCAACTGGGGGGTAAATATAATGGTAGAAATAGGGGAAGAGAGGGTCATCAAGTTGGCAGCTTGCTCTGCACAAAATACTTGGCTTTTGCCTTGGCTACTACAAATAAATAACATTGAAAGGCCAGACTTGCAGCAGATGGCCAACAGCTGACTTACAGGAATATTTTCAGCAACCTTCCTTATTTGGTTAGCAGATCCCTGAATGGTCAGCCCTGCCTCACTATAAACACATGCTGAGCCCATTCTGTCCTATAGTTCATCACATTATGCTTGTCCACTGATGCAAAACTCACAAGCTGCTCATGGTGGATGTACAGCTGAGTTGCATTTTTTTAAAAAAACTCGAAGCAACTAAGATGATATTTGTGGAATTGTCTATCGGGGCCTAAACCCCTACTCCTCAGTGGCATCCAGCATTGTTCTCCATGAAGATCCCAGCAAGATCCCTGCTACATCTAATGCAGAGATAGCAGAGAAGGGTGTTATGTTGTTACTTATCTTGTGTCTTCTATTTGAAATATTGATCTGTAAGTGCATGTTCATTTCAGTACCTCAGATCCTGGCAGAATTCGAGAGTTATACTTTGAAAGTTAGATTTATTTTCATCCCTCTTGAGGGAACTTGAATGTCTTGAGTCTCAGTAGAAACTTGGATTAAACTTAACATGCAGCATGTTTTCCTTTTGCAGGGCACACACCTGTTTCAACCGTTTGGATCTTCCACCTTACCCCTCCTATTCTATGCTGTATGAAAAGCTGCTCACAGCTGTTGAAGAAACTAGCACCTTTGGACTTGAATGAGGAGGCTCAGGCACTTCTGGTGTTTTTCTGGCTGGTGATGTCACCTTCCCTCTCCACCATCATTTGATCTTGGTTTCCCATGTTTTTATTTTTGAAAACAAAACAAAACAAATCAAGATTGACAAAAGCTGTGCATGAAGAACTGCCACCCTCTAAGATCTAACCTTCATGCTTTCATCCTCTGTTTCCAATGGACTGCTAGTCTGTATGCAATAGAAAAACAACTGTCTCAAGGTTTCTGTATATCTCTACATACCTCCATTAATAACAATGAAAATACAAATGCAAGTTACACTACACTTGACCAAATGTTAATAAATGTTTACTTCCACCTACGTTGATTAAAAAATAAAAAAAAACCTCATCAAGCATTCCAAGCTTTTATATGCCCACATCTTCTAAATCAATTCACAGTCCATCTTGCTTCTTAACTGTTGAATCCAGTACTAGGAGATGGTCAAATATATCTTCATCCATCCTTATTTTCCCTGTATCTGTTGTCCATCTGAGCAAAACTGAAATTTTTATATATGAACTCATGATCCACATCAGTTGCATCAGCTGGAACTGGCCCAGATACATGGTGCAGATTATGATCTTCAAAAACTAAAGAGAACTTGCACTTCAGAGATATTGGGAGGGGCATCTCCACTGTAATGTTTACCACACAAGAAGCACAAGGTTGTGCACACTCAAGAAGGATGTCTTATGTAGCATAAAGGACAAGGCTCCCTTACCTTATTATTGTGTATGACAAGGAAAAGGGGAAATAAGAAGAATGTTCTACTCTTATGAATACCCTTGGGTTCTGTTTTCCTGATCTTTGTTTTCTGATGTTTAAAATGCTCCTTTCCAAATGAGAAGTCTAGACAATCCCATCCCCTGTGTCAGAAGCCATTTATTTTCTGTCAGGCTGGGCTAATCTATGGTTGCTGGGGGCAGTTTTCAGTTCTCGCGTTTTTCTTTTCTTGTTCAGTGCAAATCTCCATAACTTCAGGAGTGGCTATGGACAGAAGGTTTTAGTCAAGGGTCTATTAAATGAGAAGCTGCAGTGAATGAGAGTGCTTGTCAGGGATGAAGGGGACTGTTGCTCTCTTTGGGTTAAGAATTTGCTGCACTTGCTTTTGGAGTAAGCCGAAAGGCCCTACAGTCATGTTAGGTGCCATGAAACTGAAGATCAGGCTCTGCAGGCATAACCCTCTTCAGTTTGGTGTACTTTGCATTGCAGCTCCGAAGCTGGGGAATGAAGGGAAAACAGCAGTAGGCTTGTCTTCAGGTCAGTTTTGCAGAGGCTGTCACTATCAACCACACTGCTCTGATTATTTCCTGTTTATTAATCTTTGCTGCCCTTGTTTTCCAAGGCTAATCTCAGATTGAAAGTGTTTGTCTTAACTGGGAAAAGGAAATACAACTTATCTTTACTACTGACACTCAATATGTTAAAAGGAGGCATGAAATATGAAGTGAGAGACTTGTGAAGGGTGACTGAAGGTAAGTGTCTAGCAGCTCACATGAAATGCCACACTCCTTTGGGGGCTTCTTACTGGTAGTTTTGTGTTAGCGTTGCTTCAGAAAACTAGAACATCAGGAGATCAGTTCAATGTCTGACACATCTAATTCCCGTAAGTTTTCTCTCCAGAGAAAAGAATTGGACCTTGTTTTCCCACATGTTTTTATTGTGGCTACACAGAAACTCATCACACCTGAAAAACTGCATTCTGAGAGTTTTAGATCATTTTCCTGCTTTGATTCTTAGGTCAATAGGTGTTTGAAAGATGACGGACACCAAAACATGTTTCTAAGCAGAAATTATATATAAAATATTTGTGATACTGAGATTGCTCCATTCATTCAATTTCTGTGACATTTCAGCCACTTTTTTAGTAATTTACTGTATGACTTTTACTGACAATCTATTTTATAGTACATGTTATTATTCTTATTGAGTGCTCATATTACAGTTGCATACAGAGGCTGCAGCTACAGGCCAGCTTCATTGTACCAGACCCCAACAACTATTTATTTTCACAAACAAGCTCTCAGGCATCTATTCCACATGACCAGCCTCCTGCATAGTAGAGATGGAAATCTTTGGGCTTTTTTCTGAAAGTGTCTGTCGTGTTGTACATGAATTTTACATCAGAGCAAGTCACACCAGGAGAGACTGAACAAGAGATTCTTCCAATGTATGTAATTTCTGCCTCTTCACCACTGGGCCCCAAACTCTAGTGACTCTTGGATGGTTCCTGTTTTATTTCTGGCGGTGTTAAAAAGTTACCTGTCAAATGTTGGATGTCTTCTAACAACAGAAAAAAAGAAAGAGAAGTAGCAGGCTGGTTGGTCCATGTTTGGCCAAAGAAAATAGTGCATCAAGAGCTGTCTCGTAACACAGGAAAAAAAATAAATCCAATCTTTACAATACTGTATAGTTAAATTTTATAAAGTATTTAAAATATATTTTATTAAGAAAAAAGGAAACTATTTTTTGTAGCATAATAAAAGACATTTGTATTTCAGAGAGAGCATCAAACCCCACTGATTAAAACAAGGATGGCTTTCTCCTGAAATGCTTCTTCACAGCATGTTCTGGCACTTGCTGCACCGTAAGCGGGGTTAGGTGGGTGCTATGCATCTCCATTGTTGGCAGATGCCATCTCACGGATCTGGTGTGTTCCTGCTCTGGGAGACACACAGCATAGACAGCTCCTTCCTATCAAAATCCTTGGTCCAAGCTGTCTTTCAAGTGCACAGCCTAGTATTTTTAAAAGGTAGCTTTCCTAGGTTACCATGATGACATCAAAGTAACAAGGTCGTGTAGATTTCCTTGGAAGTTTTTTTGGTTGTAAAGCCAGGAACAGGGGAAGACAGTTGACTATTTTCATGAAACAAAGAGAAAGACAATGCCACACTCTGCTTTTCTAGCATTCTGTCATTCCAGTCTTAGCCTTCTTACTAAATGCCTTACCCCAAGAGCTTTTCAAACACTAACATAATCTCTAGGATACCTGGTTCGACACTTGGCAGTGCATTCCTCCATTTGTTGCCTCATAGCCTGGGCTGAATCTGGTCCCAGTCCAGAGTGAAGGGGAAGCCCTGCATTGAAGTGGTACCGTAAGGTTAGAGTGAGGCAGGGAATGGTGCTAAGAGGAGAGAGGGAGGAGCCTTGCCCTGTTATTTAACCTGCCCATTGTGCAATTAATGGACTGTGTTGTTGCAGTTATGCATATGTAAGGCATATACCCTTCCTTGTTCGCCTTTTGATTTGAATGCTGTTACTCATATAATCATCTGTGCTCTTACCCAGGTCTGCATTTTCATTTGTAAAACACTGTTAATGACAGAATTTCTGGTTTCATTGTTTTCCCACAGGAAAGACTAGAGGATACTCCACAGGGCAGATTTACAGTGAAATAATCTGTTCAGCTCCTTCACTTCAGTTCCCTTTAAACTTTGTGGTGGTGAGATTGAGAGATGACATCAAACGTCAGTAGATTTTAAAATGCAAGTGAAAAATGGAGTAGGCAATCTGACAGCTTTTGTGAATTGCAGTTTTCAAAATAAGCAAAGAATGTTGGTAATTTGTATGTTTGGTTTCAGAGGGCCCAGATCTTCCTCAAGGTAACTGTTGTGATGGTATTAATGGTAGAGGGAGCAGAAGGGATACTTCTGTCAATGAAATCCTGTTGACACACTTGCATTAAGCTGAAGAGGTGAGAATGAAAATAGGTATTTTAAAGTGCCAGTAAGTCTTCTGCCTTGAAGTACTCTCACCGAGTGTTCAACCACATCAGCTATGCAGGATCTGCTCCAGTACTAGCAACCATACCTTACTGGTAATGGCATCAGGCCTAAGCCTTACAAATGCTGTCACTTCAGTCTGCAACACGTTACATGAGCATTCAGTTTCAGTCGCGTGGCTGTGCATATTCAGAACTTGGCTTCTATGTTCTAGGGAGATCTGTGGTTATCACAAGGCAAGAAGGGAGTGATCCAAATAGATCAAACCAAGAAATCATGAGTTTTGTACAGGTCAGACACAGAGGATGTTTTTCACCCAGTTTGCTCAAGTGCCCATGATCTTTTGAATGAACTGTAGCTAAGGTTTGAGTTTGTAGTCTAGTCTGAGAGACAGCCTGTGGGAGGGGGTGTGTTTGTTGGGTTTGTGTTTTGTTGTTCTAGTTTCACTGTAACAAATAGTTGACATACCTCTAGTTGAAAACAGTAGGATACTGAATGTGGAAATAAAATAAGAAATGTGCTAAAATATACACTCAGAGAGGATGAGTTAAACTCATCCTTCGCTATTAATCCTGTGACAGTCTGTGGAATTCCAGAAAGACAAATCTGACTGGAGATTTGTTTGATTTCTGTTGCAATAATAATTATTTGCCCTGTCTCCATAGTAATATGAGTAGGGCTTCCCAGTCAAGATTAAACACTTTCAGTCAAATGCAGACCAACAGATCTTTCTACAACAAATGCGGTGCTTTTTTATTCTTATTCTTGCTGTACCTCAGTGTTTGTTATTAAAAGAAAAAGATTACTGCAATATACTGAATCTGGGATAGGTTTTCCAGTAATCACAAGGTCCAAAAGATTGGATTGTTATTTTCTCTCTAGTGAGTCATGTAGTTCCTTTGTTCTAGTAGAAAAACAGATGCCTGTAGATAGTAGATACTAGGTATAGTAAATATTGTACCATTAGCCAAACTCCCTGCAGCTTCCGATTTATCTAACAGAAATGTCTATTCTGTTTTTTGTTAAAGACTACATTAAGTCAATGGCAGGAAAGGTCCTCATTATTGGACTGATTTTGCTTATATTGACAGAAAAATGTCACACGATACTCAGGCTGTGCTTTCTATTCAACCATATCACTATAGAGGAATGTCAATAAAATCACTTTGTTATGGCATTGTGTGGACTGTCTATTACAAAATAACTTATTTCATAGAGGATAGAATTTACTAGAGTGGGTGGAAACTGGCACTAGCGGAAGTCCACTGATGGAAGGAATTACTCTTCGAGAATCTTATCCTTTCTGACCCCTGCATTCAGGCCCTCCCACTGCTTTTGTTCAGTTTCTCAGGGTAAATGTCTAAAATGTGAGGTTCTTCACTTCGGTGTACATAAGCAAAGCCCCCATGCTCTCCAAATACCCAAAGACCAGCCCTGCATTGAAAGCATGTGAGCTTATTCCTCACTCTAGAAAAGGTCTGGACGCACAGAAGGACAAAAGGAACATACATACTACTTACACATACCTCCCTTCTAGGTATAATTACTGCATTATAGGTATGAAATGCAAGTGCAAAGATGGTTTCTTAATAGTATATGCTGGGTCTGCATTAGGTGTTGACAGCAAATAAAT